TTGGCTAGGCTACGCTTATTCGGCGGTCTTAGGACTGCTGGCTGAAGACTGCCCTGCACTGATTAGAGTCAAAGAGCTCGAAACCGGTCTGTAGGTGTCTAGCGTGGCCTGGCTAAATCGAAATCAATAGGCATTCAGGAAAGAATCACTTGTATCAATATTCGTTTATACAATCTAAATACACACATTTAGATCTATGGTTTATACGAGTCGATGCATAGATATCGGGAGGATGTAATTCAATGTTCTGCGTGGCATTAGCTAGGAAAGTAGTTGTTTTTCTACCGAAATCTACCATTGTTGTTCATTTTATGAACATTGTGTGGAAATAACTTTGAGCATTTTGTATTTGATTGAAGATCGCTCAAATCTAACAGAAACGCATTTCTACCTCCTGATGAGCACTTCAGTCAAGTTCTCTTTCTATAGTTCAATCAATCTGTACAATTAGTGTACAGGGTGTCCCAAACTGGATGCGTTCTTATGGAAACACCCCTTATTTGAAGAGATGGAAAAAAATTAACCTAGGTGTCCGGAGCTTAAATTCAATAAGGAAACCACTGGCGCAAACGAGACTTTGCTATCTCTTATCGTTTGGCCGCCAGAGGGCTTTTCTCGAAATTCGTTGATTTCTTCAATGCCCCATAACTTTCTTATTAATGAAGATAATTCATTTTGGTAAAAACATTCTCAGAGCACTTTTTTCCATAGAATCTATTGAGATGAGAAGTTTTTCTACAGGGCGTTCAGATTGCTGTGCACCATCCCAAACTCTGTTTTTTTGAATGGACCACCCTATATATTATGATATTTTTGAGAAGCTCGTAAAATTTCCTAAATTTTGGTGTATCACTCGTCATGTTTATCTCAGAAACCATCATCAACATTACGATTTAAAAATTAAAATATTGTGCCTACAGAAATCAAGATTGCCCTGACTAATGAAATGACATAGGATGCTAACATGTTATAGTTGAAACCACCGATCTAAAGTTTTTACGTAAAGAAGCAGTAGGCCGTGATCATGATTATTCTGTTTTCGTTGTTTGACAGCTTCTAAATAGTTGAGAATTGACAGTAGAACTCGATAATGTTTGATATTTTGGTATTTTCGGTAGAAAATAAGTATATTCATAAGGTTTTTGAAGAAATTTAAGGAATGTATGAAAATTACGAAAAGTTCAACATGCTTGAATGTTACATAGAAAGTAACAAAAATGCTCAGGCGGCAGAAAACTTGTATTTCCAAAGATATCCCGAACGACAGCAACCATCCAGGGATATATTTGCTAGACTTGCCCATAATCTCCAAAATTTTGGTTCTTTCAACAAACCCAGAACAAGTTATGCTCAAAATCAAGAAATTCAGAATGAAAATGAAATAAAAACTATAACCGTATTGGGAACTTTATTATATCAAAATAATGGTAAAACTTCCACAAGAAAACTTGAAGCAGAGACTGGCATACCCACAAGCACAATCCATCGGATTTTGAAAAAAAATAAATTCAAGCCCTATCGAACTCGCAAAATCCATCATCTTCTTCCTGGGGATTTGGATAGAAGAACTCGTTTTTGTCAGTGGTATTTGAATAAGATACAAAATGAACCAGATTTCGCCATAAATTGTATTTGGACCGACGAAGCTTCGATTAGTAGTGCGGGCATATTTAATCGATTTAATGATTACACTTGGTCTCAATAAAATCCCCATATGTGACTGTTCAAAACAGACAACAAGAAAGATTCAGTTCTAATGTGTGGGTAGGAATTTTCAGAGGACAATTCATTGGACCCTATATTTATGATGGACCGCTGAATTCTAGAGAATATTTGGATATTTTAAGGAACCAGGTTGAACCGTTCTTAAAAGATATTCCTATTAATCTGATACCCAGAGTAGTTTTCCAGCACGATGGTGCCCCTGCACATTGTGCAAGGATTATCAACGATTACCTCAATGTCCAGTTCGGTGAGAAGTGGATGGGAAATCAAGGGCCCATACAATGGCCTGCACGGTCACCGGACCTGACGCCCTTAGATTTTTTTCTTTGGGGTAGAATTAGAGACTTAACTTATGAAAATAATAATTTTAATAGCCGGGAGGAATTAGAAAGGGTGTTGTGAAGTGCGTTTAACCGAGTTCTAAATATACAACTCATTAATGCAGTTAATGCTGTTACCAAAAGATGTAGAATTTGCCTTCAACAAAATTGGGGACAATTTGAACATTTGCTGACATAATTTCATTATGTTTGTGTTTATGTTTATTCAATATCGTTGATTAAGTTCCATTTAATTTTATGTTAGGATTTAGTGTTAGTGTAATATTGTTGGTTTGTTGTTGTTGTCCTTTGTATTTTAAATAATTATGAATTCATTATGATAACTATGAGTAATTTAATCATGAAACTTCAGATCTGTAGTTTTAATCATAACATGTTAGCATCCTATGTCATTTCATTAGTCAGGGCAATCTTGATTTCTGTAGGCACAATATATTAATTTTTAAATCGTAATGTTGCTGATGGTTTCTGAGATAAACATGACGAGTGATACATCAAAATTTAGGAAATTTTACGAGCTTCTCAAAAATGTCATAATATATAGGGTGGTCCGTTTAAAAAAACAGAATTTGGGATGGTGCACAGCAATCTGAACGCCCTGTAGAAAAAATTCTCACCTCAATAGATTCTATGGAAAAAAGTGCTTTGAGAATGTTTTTACCAAAATGAATTATCTTCATTAATAAGAAAGTTATGGGGCATTGAAGAAATCAACGAATTTCGAGAAAAGCCCTCTGGCGGCCAAACGATAAGAGATAGTTAAGTCTCGTTTGCGCCAGTGGTTTCCTTATTGAATTTAAGCTCCGGACACCTAGGTTAATTTTTTTCCATCTCTTCAAATGAGGGGTGTTCCCATAAGAACGCATCCAGTTTGGGACACCCTGTACATACATGCAAAAGGTCGTGTAGTAGTGATTTTTTGTATGTTGTATCCGTTCAACAAGAAAAAAAAATCAGGAAAAAAAGCTGCGAAAAGTGAGTTACAGACTACATTTCAAAATATTACTGAATAACAGGGCGTTTGAAAGTAGTTCTCGAAACGTACTGAATTCAGTACAGAAGTAGGTATCCAAACGACTGCACTGATTAGCAGCCTAGATAGTAGTTACCATATTATACATGGCGCCGACCCAAATTATACTATCAATTATACACATCCAATTTGGAAATATACAAATCTCATACATCAACGATTCAGAGCAATTTTTGTTTGAAAGAGAGTGATTATACAGTGTCATTCATAAAGTCAGCATCATATGGGAAACACTTTTTTTAATGACTTATTTTGAAATTCGAGTTGGACGTCAAGTTTTGCTTCAAAAAAGATGAAAAATGGCCTACTCAATCGGGGTCACGTGACTTTCGCTACATGTAAAAAGTGAAATTTTTTCAAATTAATCGCTGAAAGTAGGCTTATTTGTTCGAATATCGAAAAAGTTTACTCGAAAAAAATGTTTCTATTTCAATTTCACATAATTATGTGACTCGGATTTTATCTTTCTATTACATTTTTTAGATTTCGATATTTTTTGAAGATTTTCGAAATTTCTGTAATATTAGAAAAATTGTGAATTCGATATAACTACTTCATACCAGTAGCTCCATCATGCTACTAACTTTCAATTACTAATTATCACTAATTATCGACAAAAATATGATTTTCTTCAGAAAATGATAATCTCCGCTTCTAAATTCTGTTATGTTTGATGCAAACATAAGATCAAAATGCTGTTATGTTTGAGTCAAGCATTTAGAAACGAAATTCATTTGAATTTATTTTTTCAGTACTGAAAAGATCAGTTTAAATGAATTTCGTTTCTAAATGCTTGACGATATATCAACTTTGCATCAAACATAACAGAATTTGGAAGCGGGTATTATCATTTTCTGAAGAAAATCATATTTCTGTCCATAATCAGTGATAATAAGTAATTGAAAGTAAGAAGCATCAAAAAGCTACTGGTATGAAGTAGTTTCGTGAAATTAACAATTCTTCAAATATTACAGAAATTTTGAAAAATTAAAAAAAAAAAATGGAAATCGTAAAGTTGCAATAGAAAGATCAAATTCGAGAAGCATGAGTGAAATTGAAATAGAAACAACTTTTTCAAGTAAACTTTTTCGATATTCGAACAAATAAGCCTACTTTCAGCGATCAATTTGAAAAAATGTCACTTTTGACATGTTACGAAAGTCACGTGACCCCGATTGAGTAGGCCATTTTTTATCTTTTTTGAAGCAAAACTCAACGTCCAACTCGAGTTCCAAAATAAGACATTAATAAAAGTTTTTCCCATATGATGCCGACTTTATGAATGACACTGTATATGTATTTCCATTCAAAATTTCCATAGACAACGCTGTTATTGCTGATACATGCTGATACTAACGTCAGATGATTTGAGATAATGGTTTCAATGTATTCGAATAATACCTATTTATGAAACATATATGCCACTAGTGCTAGCACTAGCATAATAATTGAGCCATTTATCCATTTAGAATTATGATTATGGAATATTTGATTTTTTTTTTATGTTGAATGACATCTTAACATAACAAAACAAATCGTTTGACGTATGACGTATTCAGAAATGGCAAGAACATGAAACATAAGAACATGTTACAATGACAATATGACATTTTCCTTGAAACTTTCGCATTCTGTGGGTTTCTTCAGTTCTGTGCCCATCAGTGGTTGCAACAGAGAAATCATGTACTTAGTCATTATCACATTAAATTGAACAAATCCCATAATGTTTTTTCTTATTTATAAGATCCTTCCACATTCAACAGTGTTGCTTTCTGCAGCATAAACAATTATACATGAAATCAAAAGATACATACAATTATACACAGACCTCCAAATTATACATAATTTGTATAATCATACATGAAACGGCAACACTGTTCTCTCCCCTCCCAAAGACCTACCTTGATAGGACGGCGCGCTGCTAACGGTGCTAACCTCTTCGGCCTCAGCGATAGTGGCTAGCCCCAGCCCTTCGTTGATCACGTGCTCTTTTTCGACGTCACTATCCGACGACGTGTCGCCGCCATCGCTGCCGCTGTCACTGACGTCATCGGCCGCGTGCGCGTAGCGATCCAGCGTTTCCGCCGTCTTCCGGTTCCTCTTCAGGGAATCGCTGGCGCAAAACTTCTGCACGTCTTCGACCACGCTGTTGAAATCGTTCACCGCTGATTCGAAACTGATGCGGTCCAGAGGCTCTCCGTCGGAACAATGGTTATTTTTAGTCGGGTTTTTAGTTTCCGGAATGGAACGAGGAGTTTGGTTTGCGTCGTCGTCTTCGATGGGAAAGTATTTTTCTTCCGGATTTTCGGCCACTATGGCAGCTACTATGTCTCCGTTGTTGCAAGCCACTTCTCGCATTTTTGCGGTTTTCTTTCAAGAACTATACTCGAGAGAAGAGGATATGCTGTTGAAGTTTTTCAAGTGGGAATTGTCGCATGGTGGCAATCGAATGATTCTGAGAAGTTTCCGATGGAGGGCGATATGACACGCTTTTTTTTTAATGAAGCTATATAGAAACATTTGAGCAGTTTATTGTAACTTTTATTTAACAAATGATTTCTGCAATGGACTTGTTTCAGTGGAACATTTTATTTTATTATTTTGAAGTATATTAACCCAAACTAGCACACTGCTACCGTTTTCTCCTCAGAACTATGTATATTTTTTTACAATATGTAGTTATTGAAATTCGCGATATCTCAAAATATGAAAAATATGACGACATATACCGCGATACTTGTTTATCATACAACGTATCAATTATTAGCTCTTGCAAAAAACTTCATAAACTGTAAGATTTACTCAAAAACACATGTTCACACACATTGTTCTTTGAATGCATAATAACTAAGTATATCATATAACAGCAATTGGATATAATAGGTTCTTCAATCCTATTTTGTCAAGTATTATAAATAATTCCCATTAATCTCTCATTGGCTCAATGAAGTTGATTACTAATAAACATAAATTATGATATTTTGCGATAGTAGATCTATAATTTTTCACTATCGTTATATAACAATATGTTAATCATAACGTGTCAGTCATTTTTTTGCTACTGAATTCGTTCCTTAATAAAACGGATCCATTTTTTAGGAAAGTTGCAGATTATATCTTGCAACAGCGCCTAATACTTCGAGACCGTCCACACCACTCAAAATACTGACAGGCACAAGAAGAGGAAGGAGCCATGGGTGTCGGCTTCATTCTGTTCTGACCGATGGCAGTAAATTAGGAAGGATAGTATCATTGAATGTAGTCGATAATGATTCATTGATTCAATGATATTTTCGTTCAGGATTGAGCTCTATTCGAGATATTTCAATGCATAAATAACAAAACCATAACCTGTCAAAATGAAGCCAACTATCTTCTGCATTCCTGCTCCGGGTGTATTTGTGTTTATGTATGTTGTTGTTTACCAGTTTCACTTCTTCTTCTATTTTTTTTTTCATTCGTTAGCTATTCATTAGCTATTTGCTAGCTATATTCTTCACCATCAGCCATTCTGTACAGCGTGGACATGAAACTGGGGAGTTCCGAACTTATTTGATGGAAATTCATCTGAAGGAAACTTTCCAATTAACTCTAAGTTCAGTTCAGAAGATGCTCGAAATGGTTGCCTTGAACTTCTTGATCTAAGAACAGCCTATCCGATATTTTACGCCGAACACAGTTACGTGGATATCACTACAAAATATATTTATTATTCTCTGTCGTATATCTAATATGGAAGCAGTTGCAGTTTCGTACACATTTGGCTTCGAATAGCCCCATAAAAAAACGTCTAGAGGTGTCAAATCTGGCGAGCGGGCTGGCCAAATCCGACGGAAAAAGTTATACCCAAATGTTTCTAGCTTGTCTGCCTCTTAACGACTTGCCCGAACTCCGCTCCGCATCGTTCGTGCAACTTTCCGCACTTGTTAGGTACATAATTATTCCGATAAAATTTCGCTTGATTGGCCGTTTAGAAATGATTCCACAAAATCATCGATAACACCTGAACAAAAATTGAGAAAAACCTCGGATAGAACCATCTGGCATTGATAGAAAATCCACATGCCTTTTTAGGACTCGACGACGTAAAGAAAAACATATGCCGTTGAAAGATAAATATATTTGGTAGAGATACGTTACAAATTGCCTGTCAAGAACACCCAGACATTTATTTTATTACCGAAAATAAGGAATCGTATAGAACGAAATAAATGCTGCTGGTAGTAGGTAGTTACATTTCTTCTGGTTTCAAACATTCTCACAACCAATAAGACCTCGGAAAAGACGTACGAAAAGCGGTAAGCAAATATGCAGGGAGATCAATGAGAATATACAAGTTTTGTAAGACACTATTTTGTCGCACGCGACAAATATGTCTCATAAAAGGTGTGAAATACACGATTTTTTCTATTTTGCATTCATTCGTACTATTATTTGAAAAAATTCATCAATAAGAACATCAAATATCAGAAAGATACGAAGTGGGTGATGGCTCGCTCACAAACTCACTCACTTCTCTGGAACACCGTAGAAAAGTTGGCGATCTGTCTCTATTTTATCAACAATTATTGTACCTCCCTTGGCAGTCCCCGCGAGATTGACCCGTCGAGTTGAGGCTTCGCACCCCTTTGTGGTCACTTTGGAGACCTGCAGAACATCTCTTTTTCCAAAGACTCGTTCATCAATCGAACAGCGAGGCTCATGGAACACATTGCCGAGGGAGGTGTTACCCGAGGCATATAACCTCCAGAAATTCAAGAAGAACACCAACTCCTATACCTTATTTCCCTTGGTTCTCACGATGTTCTCTGAACATTACAGGATATCCCTATTCGTGGGAACCAGAACATAAAAAAAGTACGTATAGTTGGTAACAATAAAAAAAGCCTCAGAATGTTTATTTCCAAATTTGACAGATTATGAAAAAAATATCGTTATTCCAGTGATATAATTTGAAATTGTTGGTTTTTTGAAAATATGAATTTTCTATTCTGATAAAAACTGAAGAAGCAAACTTAAGTTGCACCCCTCCTGAACTGATGGAATATGCCCAAACGGCTATGAAGGACATTGTTTTCATTCTGAAAGTTTGAGATTACCATTAGTGACTTTGAAAAAAGAAATTCGCGTGTTCAAATAGAAAAAATACATTTTCGAAATATAACATGGAATTCATTGCCAATGGAAGTATTTCCAAGAAATCAAAAAAATTCAACACCTACCTCCTCTCCCTATTCTCCCCAAGTACGCACGATGTTCTTCAAACATAATAGGAATTTCCATTCGTGCGCTCCAAGAGATTAAAAAAAATACATCAAACTCCGTGATATGACGATTATCAATTTCGCTCTCTGAATTCATGATTCACAGGACAATCCGATAAGCTTCTGACATCTGAAAACCGTATTCGAATCGGTCTATTTATTTGGAAGTTATAATATTACGAATTCGAGCGAAAATTCAGAAGCCCCACTTCACATATCTTGTCTATATTGATTTTTCCATGTATTGATAGTGATAATATTAAATAGATTTATTCATCAAAAAATATTTTTCTTCAATAAAAAAAATAATCAACTTTCAAAAGCGCTTACTATACCCCCGATGACGAGATATACCGATGAGCACCAATAGTCTAATATATTTCAACAAATATTGAAAATATGTCCATATTCCACATATAATGAGAATTCACTTCCACCGTAGGAGTGTACCGAGATACATACAATACATTAAAATTATTGTAGGTATACAGTGTGTCCCACTTACCATGCTCACCATGGGTATCTTTTTAACGGTGAGAGATACGAGGTCGGTTAAATGACACCAAATGTGGAGTTTATCAAGGCCAACTATAATGTGAAAAAATATTTCGATAAAATCTATTCGTTTTTGTTTTATACGCAAAAAACAGATTTTGATCATTTTCATGTCTCCTTCGTAACTTCTTTATTTATGAAAATATTCAAATAGGAATTTCACATTCTCATGGCAGTTTTTCGAAGTGATTTCGAAAAAAATATGAAATTTATACCAACTCTTCTAGAATTTGAGATATCAGCACCAACTTTAGTTTTTCGAATGTAGGTCATAGCTCCTATGACTTAGTTACAAATAACTTTTTTTTCTTTTTCAGATGATATGTCGCAGTAATACTTTTGTGTTGATAACAACGGAGTTATCGTCATTTATACAAAAACAAAAAATTATTTGGATGCCGCCATCTTGAATTTATGAATTTTAACAAAAAAATCATGATCTCCGACCTCAAAAACCCCCACTTACCAATTTTGGATAGAATCGGACCAAATCTTGTCCGCCATCTTGGAGCAGCCATTTTTTTCAATTGATGGCGAACAAGATTTGGTCCGATTCCATTCAAAATTGGTGAGTGGGGGTTTTTGAGGTCGGAGATCATGATTTCTTGTTAAAATTTATAAATTCAAGATGGCGGCTTCTAAATAATTTTTTGTTTTTGTATAAATGACGATAACTCCGTTGTTATCAACACAAAACTATTACTGCGACATATCATCTGAAAGAGAAAAAAAAGTTATTTGTAACTAAGTCATAGTGAGCTATGACCTACATTTGAAAAACTAAAGTTGGTGCTGATATTTCAAATTCTAGAAGAGTTGATATAAATTTCATATTTTTTCGAAATCACTCTGAAAAACTGCCATGAGAATGTGAAATTCCTATTTGAATATTTTTATAAATAAAGAAGTTATGGAGGAGACATGAAAATGATCAAAATCTGTTTTTTGTGTATAAAACAAAAACGAATAGATTTTATCAAAATATTTTTTCACATTATAGTTGGCCTTGACAAACCCCACATTTGGTGTCATTAAACCGACCTCGTATCTCTCACCGTTAAAAAGATACCCATGGTGAGCATGGTAAGTGGGACACACTGTATAAGTAACATTGGGTTGATCGCGATATAAGTCTCAGCGCGTTATCCTCCGTTTTTGATGATATAAAATATAGTGAATTTCAATAATAGTTATTTGAATAATAAACACAGTTCCGAGCATGTTATGACAGAATGTCACAATGTCAGTGTTGACATGCGATTCAGGTAACATTTATGAAACATGTACCAAAACTGAAACCAGTTTGCAGGGGGTTAGGTGTACCTAACTCAATTCAAGCACAATTTGGCATTGAGGAAAGAAACATTTGCATCAGTATACGGTTTTATACTCTGTTTTATACGAATTTTTGCATAGATCTAGAGATGATATAATTGAATTGTTAATGTTTGCACTAGACTAGTGAGTTTTTTACTCCTGCTTGCTATGTGGTATAACATATAAATAACTCGAGAAATAACTATACTATTGTGTTTTATTGTATTGGAAATATTAAGTTTTC